GTCAATGTAACCACGTGTCGAATTACTTGTACGTACCATCAAGTCAATGTAACCGCGTGTCGAATTACTTGTACGTACCATCAAGTCAATGTAACCGCGTGTCGAATTACTTGTACGTACCATCAAGTCAATGTAACCACGTGTCGAATTACTTGTACGTACCATCAAGTCAATGTAACCGCGTGTCGAATTCCTTGTACGTACCATCAAAAAAATATTGGTGCGTTTCGAATTCCTTGTACGTACCATCAAATAAATGTAACCACGTGTCGAATTACTTGTACGTACCATCAAGTCAATGTAACCGCGTGTCGAATTACTTTTACGTACCATCAAATCAATGTAACCGCGTGTCGAATTACTTGTACGTACCATCAAATCAATGTGGATACGCGTCGAATTACTTGTACGTACCACCAAATCAATGTGGATGTGTCGATTTTTTTGTACGTACATATGTATGATCTATGTTTGAATGTGATCGGTATAGGCACGCAGGTGTAGACACACGAGGGACTAACATGTTCCTTATGGCATTCTATGCACATCTACCATCTACAAGGAGTAGAGTGTAATCACATATTGATTCAGTAATACGCTACTATAATATGTGGGCTGGCCAGTTAATTTGAAGTATATATGGATAACACAAATTGAATTGTCAGCTGTTACAATACGATATTATGTCGAATATACAGTGCACGTCAGTGTAGATATTAACTATATACACCACACATTCCAAATGCTACGAAGTCTAAGGATCTTACTGAACGGATATTAAGAAATAGGGATAGATTTCGGACGATATATTGATGATTTTAACGTAACCAATGCAAATGCAAATTGTATCAGTATTCTGCAAAATTTGAAAATGTGACTCTCTAATTTTTTAATTTAATAATTACTCAGATGAACACAGCTTTTTTTTTCGCCAAAGTACTGTTATGTGGTTATTTCCACCCAGATGTGATGTATTTTCCCTTTCAAAAAGGCTATTATAACGCAAGAAAGGCAACAAAGAAACGGACAAAGAGCAAGTATAAACACAAATATAGCGCTGTCAGTTTTTTTAAAAAAAACAACATTTTTCGTTTACACAATAACTTAGCAGAACACACTCCTTCCTTCGCAGTATTTGGGAAGCTTATTCGTATCCCGATCCGTGACAAGTCCCCTTCCTCTTTTGGCACTAACACAGTATACGTTATGAAGCTAAGAATTCTAGGATTAGATAGAAACCCTGCCATTTTCCCTCAAATATTACGACACACATGTTTATGTAACAGAGCTATCACTGAGAGTTGGCCGTGGGAACTGGTTCAAGTTATTCCGTAAATATATGTGACTGTTTAAGCTTTGACACACTACGGACTTGGATTTGCATGTACGCGTACGGCTCCGGGTATTGTATCATATCCAGCTGTATTCAATTCCAATCTACAATGGAATTCTGTGAATGTCCCTCTTAGATCTGTCACAGTCGGCATGATTTGCGAGTAGTAACACAAACGACCACACCAAATACTATATGAACTCTTCATAGACGGACAATAATTGAATCCCTGTGTCGAAGGGTACTGTGAACTTTGGAAACGGCATTCCACGGGTCCCGTAAACCGTACCTACAATTGTAATTGCTCATACAGTCTGAATCGCTCACGTAAAAGCGTAGATTGTGAAATTTGAACGCCAATTTGAGTGTTTAAAACCAATATATTAGCAGGTCGATTATTTTAAAAATGCAGACAAAACAAATGTCGTGCTTACCCTTGAAAATGCAGAAAACTTCGAGCGAGGCTTTGTATGCATCTGGGAAAAAATGCGCCATCCCATCTTCTGGATACTTAGCTACTACCTCTCCGTACACGACAATTTTAGCTTCCTGTGCCCTCTCAATAAAAGGTTTGGGCTCGCCAACTATAGAACAAGCTTCGCTGAACTGTCCACACAAAATGACAACGCAAAGCGCAAAGCAAAACTGTAGAACCATTGCCATTATCGTATCACTGCGAAATGAAACCCCGCGACCAGATATTATAATGTAGATCGTGCTGATTTTACGAGCGTGGAGGGCGCTACACATTTCCGTCGATAAACATCTGTATCCTCGGGGGCGGAGCTACGTCACAAGACGTTCCACGTTGCTACGACGCGCACCACTGTACATGCATTTCTACGGGCTCTGTGCGCGCTGCTGTGGAACGCCGGTCGAGCCGGTGAAAATTTGAGAAAACAACAACAACAACCAAATTTATATATGTTACACACGTAGGGCTAATCTTGTTACACTGTTCAGAGGAGTCTCAACAATCATCCCAAAGTACGTACCGTTTTCTTCGAGTTTTGGGCCTTTGTTTTCACCGCCGCGGGTTGCCAGGCGGTGAAAATGCCCGGATATCCGCCCCCGAGGATACGATTGGATAGATTATATAATTTTAATCATGACAAAAGTCAATGATATTTGAAAATGAAATAATTCTTAATAATCTGTGAATTGAAAAAATAGCAATAATGGAAGCTAAAATACACGACAAATTGTGTATATTCTGCAGTATTTTTTGTTAAGTAATGATAACCGTGACTCTTCACCGAATACGTCAGTTCGATCTTCTCCACTGCCCTT